ACCCCGGGGGAGGCCACGGTGGTGCCCAGGCGGATGCTGGCCCCCTCAGCTGGGACAGCAGCAACGGCCTCCTCGTCACCGCCCTGGTGCGGGGTGGTAACAGCCAGGTGGCCCGGCCTCCCCTCGAACCTCTGCCCCTCACCTCTCGCCTCATCGTCACCGTTCCCACGGATGCCAGCCCCTGTGGGGGCGGTAACATCACCACCAGTGACCCTCCAGGGGCCGGGGGCCACTGGTCCTTCTCCATCACCAATGGTGGTGGCACCATCCTCATCGTCTCCTGTGGGACGGCCATCCCCAGGGCTGCTGGTGACCCTGTCCTCATGGCTTGGGGTAGCTGTGGTGGCCAGTCCCTCAGGCTGCCCGCGAGCAGGTATGCCATCATTGTCATCGCTGTCATGTGCCGCAGTGATGCCCAGCCCGGGCAGGGAGCTGCTGGTTCCCGGAGTAGGGGTGCTGTCATTCTCGCTGCCAGCAGTGGCACCAACCTGGGTGGTTTCTTGCTCCCCCACGTGGATGTTGGCCCTCCCAATGAAGATGTTGACCTCATCATCCTTGTCTGGAGAGATCTGGGTGAAGCTGGTGGCCCTCCCTGTGCTGCCCACCTTTCCGTGGGTGACAGTGACGCTGCCTGAGTCGGGGACGTAAGCGTATTCATCCACACCTTCGGCATCAACTTGGACGTCTTCCGTCTTCTCAGTAATGGAGGCGAGAGCAGCCCCTCCTGTCCCTGTGCCCCAGGTGACCCCCCCAGGGGCACCATCGTCCCTGTCTTCGCTCCTGACACCGGACCTGTTCCCTGCCACGGCCTCACTGGGGCGTCCTCCCTGGGGGAGAATGGAAACACCACCATCAACTTCAACCACCAAATCCAGGTCACCGCTGCCCTCTGAGCTGGCTGGGGTGGGACCCACGACGCTGACACTACCACGCGCTCCTGTGCTGGTGCCCAGGCGAGGACTGTGAGCATCCCCGCCGACACCTGGGGCACTGTGGTTTCTGGGCTTGAGGCCAGTCCCAATCTCCATCGCACCGGTGCTGCCATTGTCACCTCGCTCCAGGGTTGCCCCGTCCTCCGTTGGCCCCTGCCTGGCATCGTCCTCGCCCAGCCGCTGACTAGGGACAGTGCTCTGGCTGTCAGCCTCTTCCTTCTGTGTAGTACACACAAGGGAGAGGTCAGGGCCAGCCCCGGTGCTCGCTGGCTGCAGGGGGTCCTGCCGTGCCCCCTGGCTGCCTCCTCACCTTTATCTGTGTTTGGTTCCTCCGCGTCGAAAATGAGTAGACATATTTGAAAACGTAGAAGCCATGCTTGGCATTGCAGCCTTTCAGCAGTATCTGGTTGGGAAGAAAATAACCAAACCCCACAATTCTCATGTTAAATGTGATGGCAGTAGCTTCCCTTGCTGTGCCTGGCACCGCAGCAGGGTCCCACCAGCACCCGCTGGGGCCCCAGGATGGGCAGTATCTCCCACCACCTTGTGGCCACTAGTGCAGGCAGGGACATAGGCAGGACATGTGTGTTCACCTCCTGGGCTCCAGGGTTTGGTTTCCTTTTGGGCTTGTTTTCTCCTTTTGCTTGCTTTCAGGAGCTGTGGAGTTTTTTGGGTTTTTTTTGCAAGGTAGCTTATGGCTTGAATAAACAACTTGAATAAACCCCCTGATTGATCAGACACAAATGACGGGACCAACAGCGACTGAAGTGCTGGAAGGACACCAGCTGGCTTCCAATAGGCAAAACCAGGCATTTTCTTCCATGCTACTCATCTGAATTTTGCTAGTGATGCATTTTACACCGATACACCTTGAAAAAAGCCCATAGCAGCTGAGCCTTTTACAACCTCACCTGTGGGTGCACCAAGCATTTGTGCTCTGGGGCTGGGCAGGGGCAGAGGAGCAGCCAGTGGCAGGGGGGAGCCCTTCCCTCACCTGAGCCCATCACACCTTTCCTCTCCCCTGCTTTTCCTAAGGCTGCTTGGATGCAAGGGGACCACCGGTCTCTTTTTCTGTGGCTCACTTGGGTTCCCTCCAAAAGTGGCTTTTTCTCCCTGTGGCCCTGGTGCAGGGCACCCCACGGGGTCCGGATGGGGCAGAGTGATACATACCCGGTGTTGTCCCACGCAGTTCCCAGCAGCTCTCCCGGGCAGCGGTGGTGGCACCTGTGGGCAGCAAAACACAAGCAAGAGCCGAGGAGTCAAACGCTGCCCTGGCATCCAGGAGGCTGCCAACGCCTGCCGCCGGCCTCCCACCCTGCCCAGCGCGATAGGCATGCCATGGCGTCCAGGGAAAGGTGGGAAAACTGTGTTGATAAGCCAGTAAATTCCCGGGCGCTACCTGGGGTGCCAGCTGAAAGCCAGCAACAGGAACAGGAAAGGTCAAAGCCCCATTTCCAGGGTCTGAAAAGTATTGCAAATTCTGCTGCAGCGTGCTTGCATTGCAGGCTACTTTTAATAAGACATTGTCAGTCTGCAAATACCCTTTTACTGGATTCTGCTGCAGAGTATTTTTATCGCAGAGCAGTTTTAATACATGGCACCACTGCTCACACCACAATGTTCCAACTTACGGCTGGGATCTGACCACAACGGGAGCCTGGAGCTGGTTAACTGCTGGTGACTCCCAGTGTTTATACTGGGCAACCAAGCAGCGACGCCTGTGCCCTCACAGCCAGGTCTCTGCACCTGATTGCAAGCTTCTGGCTTCCCCTGGTTATCCTGGCATCTTTTGGGATGTGTTGGCCAGTGCATCCCACAGGGATGGGGGACCCGAAGGCGGGAGCATCCTGTGAGCCCCATCAAGCCATTTTGGGACATTCCTTGCATGCCAGAGGGGAAGACGGCCCCATGGAGGGCAGCCCCCTCCGGTCTCAGGAATATCAGCCACTGAGAGCACCCCAAGCCCAGCTGAAAGGGGCAGAAATGCACCCCAGAGTATTAAATATTCCCAGTTTATTCCATTGTGTGTGAACAATGTCAAAGGCTGGATTACAGCCCGGCTTACACAGCAGAGTATTAATCAGCTCTCTTCTGTGCCCCTATCTGAAAAGCAAGTCTGTGCTGATTTATTGCCTTCCCCGGTGCTGCCCTGTGACAGGCCCAGTTGTGCAAGCTTGCCCTGGGGACTAAAGGACACATGGCCGCGGCCCAGCCCTCAGGGAAGATGTGGTTTCCCTCCTCCTTATCCTGCCTGAAAAGCAAGCCTTTGCTAGGAGCAGATTTTTCACTCTAGCTGTGTATTTAATATGTTGGGCGACGGTTATACAGGACAAAAATGGCTGCTATTATATTTATCGCCCTTTGTTTCAGTTATATCTGTCCGAATTTCACGTTAGAAGAGCTGGAATATAATCACAGGCACCCCTCTGACCCTGATTACCCACATGGGTAAGGCGAACATCCTCCCCACACCTCCCTTCCTGTGGCTCTGCTTGGGCTGTTCCCAGACCAAAAGCTCCGGGCAGATCCCAAATCCGCAGAAATCAAGGAGAAGAGTTACAGCGACCCAGACCAGCCCTTGCACAATGCCCGAACTGCTAAATTAAAGGGACATGCTCAAGCACCTCTGTGCTAATATATATTTTTCCTGCTGGGTTTTTACCTCTGTGCCAGTACCTTTCTGCTGCTGAAAGCGTGCTGGCGCGCACTGGGTGGTGCACCCCACACCAGTTTTGGTACGCTGGGAAGCTGGGGAGAGCTGTACTCACGGGTGTCGAGAGGGCTGTGTTGAGCAGGCACAGGCACAGGCACACGAGGGCTGTTTGCATCTTGGGCAGCTCCTGGGGGCACAAAGCGAAGCATCACTGGAGTTTGTCTTCCCGGGACTTGATGTCCCCAACAATCCTGGTCAGCAGCAACCCGAAAGCTCCTGCTGTCCCAAAGCTCCCATGGGTTATCCAGTGATCCCAGCTTTCCCCAGCCTTTGCGGTGGCCCTCAGCACCGCTCTGCCTCTCTGCACTCCTCGCAGCAAAGGTGATGCTCTCACCACACGCATACAGCAGTGAGGCAAGGATACACGCACAGCCAGCAGCACCAAGGGGGTGCTTTGACACAAGGTGTTAAAGCCTCTTAACTCACTCTGTCCAAGCATCTTGGGTGGATATTTGCAATGAATGACCACCAAAACCGCTGCAGGCTAAGCCAGACAGTCGTATGTCTGAATTAAGAAATTTGCCCGCTGTTTTCAACAGTGCTGATAAATGGCAGGAGACAATACCCCTCTTGGCTAATAATTCTCATTTCACCCATGCACCCTGGCTTGGGCTCGCAGGTCCAGCCCGGAGTCTATTTTCAGCTGTGCAAGCATCAGAAAGCATCAGAAGGAAATTCATGCAGGAGGATCAGCAGTACAAAGCAACGAAGGCTCCAGAGAGCGCGACGCAGAGATGCGCACAGCCAAGGCTCGGGCCGTCTCCCCATCCCCACCGCGGCTCGCCCAGCGGGGAAGCAGGAGATGCCCTGCTCAGGGAGGGGAAAGCCGAAGGGCTGGGGAGAGACAGGGCAAGCAAACTAGGTAAGAGGATTACCTTTCGCCGTCGGAGGCAGGTCCCAGCAGCAGACCGTGGAGGCTGTGCCCGCTTTGCTGAAATTTAAAGTTGGCCCCGGGTGCACAGAGCCAATCAGCTCCTGCCCAGGGACATTTGTCAGGGCTGGCAGCACCCGCAGATAACCAGGGGGAGTAATTTCCAGCTAAAAATGTGTTTGTGGTGGCAGACAGCTATCAAATGTTCCACCTGGCTGGATAAACAGAAAGCACAGTTTATAAATATCTGTTCTGAAGGCGAAATTGCTCGATGATTAGCGCAGATCTAAGCGTGGCACGCATCCAGCCCAGTTATTGATAAGAGGGGGTGCAGTGGGTCATAGCGTGCTCACCGTGACTGACATGGGAAAGCCTGAAGGGCTGTAGAAAGGGAAGGGCAATACATTGAGCCCGGCCTGGTCATGGCCACGACCCGCACCGAAGGGCAGCACTGGCCAAGCTGAGAGCTGCTGCCACGCCATAGCCTCTGACGCTTGCTTTTTGGTTTTCAACCTCAACCCTGCTGAGCTAAGCCCGGTGCAAGTGCAAAACAGAAGAGTGATAAAAAAGAAAAAAA